AGTACCGTCCATGAACAGGCTCAATCAAACCGAGCTTGCAACATTTTCAATTTTGTTGTGTTGTACTTTCTTTAGGGATTCTGTTTTTCTCCATTTTAGTCGTTTTAGATTTTGGAGGACAGCGCAAGATACAGACAGCATGATGCCCCAATTTCAGAAAAAAATATGAAAAACTGGATCAATAAATTAGTACACCAATCAATCTTCTTCTTATTCCTTACCTATCCAAGTGTTTAAGCACTCATACACAGGACCTCGCTTTGAAGTCACAGCCGAAAGATTTTTAGTTATTTCAGTTGATTCTCACGGGAATCGAACCCACAATGTCCAGATTACAAAGCTAGTGACTTAACCGATTCAGCACTGCACGCTGGCTAATAAGAGAATGATGTTGGTATTGAGGACTATGACAGAAAGCCAACTTGAATATTCATACCAGAGTACAGTTCAGCCTTCGCATCGTTCCTTGACAGTCTGTCAAGCAGTTAAACAGTAATAATCTCTTTCACTTTCGTAAGGTACTGATTACTTCTGTACAACGAAAGTGACTTTCACCGTCGACCGAGAATTGAACCCGGGTCGCTTAATTCACAGTCCATGGCTTAACCTGCCGTGAGGTCTGTTTAATAACCCCAACGCTATCCTTGCGGACACCTTAGGACCATACGTGCAACGTACTGCGTCCATCCGGGTCCCAGTCAGTAACCTGCCGAGACGCCTTCGGTGACCGCTCAGATACCGCTTGGAATCTGGGGGAATATTTGGCGCCCAGGAGATGAAAATTTTAACCGGTATGTAACCGATAACAAAAGATGCCCGGCCGGGTATCGGAAGGTATTTTACCGTGTCTGCTACGATGAGCTGGCGAAGTACCGGATGCCGGAAGAAAATACCTCTGCACTAAAATTCTCCGATTACCCGTACGGTGCCCCACCGGTCACTTGACACCGGAGAGTCGTCGGCCGGAGACCTTAAAAAAATTGGCAATTTCAGCCTGTAAAGACATCGGTACCGCATCGTAAACCTAATCGGAGTGTAATGTGACGCAGGCTTAACTGGCCTCACTGACTTTCAGTTTCAAATTGATGGTTGAAGATTTGAATCTTTATGACACATTAATTATTCTTTTATGTTTTATTATATTTTGCAAAACTTAACTACTACTATTTTTTTTGTGCATGCCAAGCACCCATTGTTCGATTATACAAATTGAAATTGTGAAAATTTACATCTGTATATTATATACATCTGTATAATATAAGTTATGATTTATTAAAGAACAGACACAAGCAGTAAAGAAAAGAATCATCCACTAATGCTGCATATATTAAAAAGTTATTAAAGAAATTTGAAAATAAAAGTTTGTAGAGGATTCGAACTTGAACCTTTGCGATTGCTACATGCTATCATGCTTACCACTTGGGCATCGGGACGTTAGTACAAAATGAAGTATCGAGAAATCTTCCGAAAATTAAGGAGACTCAGGTCAATTTTGCCAAATAATGTTTTTTAAAGTATGCAATTATTCAATAACCCAATTTATTGGCCAAACACAATCGCATCTTCTATGCCCTTTCCGCCAAACGTCTGAAAAGGACCTCGGACATTATAGTTGGAATAGAACAGAACGAATAGGCATTTCGGTCTAGCTAAGTTTTTGTTTTGTTGTTGTGTTGTTGTTTTTTTCAATGTATAAAGTTGAAGGATACTGAAATTAAGTACTTTCATTGATATAAAAGTGAACATTACATTATTCAGATACTTATTATTATTGTTGAAGAAACCTAAAGCACAAAATGCCAACTGGATATTTTTGAACATATTTTCAATCAGAAATATCAAATATTTACATCAGTTTTTCATTATCAAAAAATACAATCTCTATTTTGTTTACATCTTAAACCATGTTGTAGAATAACTTTTATAGTCTTATTTTATTGACCTGTCAATTATTGAAACATTATAACTGTTTATTTGGATATTTGATCCAACGTCGGTTCTGCCAGTGTTGATTACGAGAATTTATATGGAATATATACATAATGTTTTGAAAATTCACACTAGCTTAATACGAGCATATAAGACGTCATCAAATCAGCAATAGCATAGTCGGTAAAGTTATTGTCTTATATAACACAGGTCTATGGTTGGAGGTTGTCATATATTTTCTCTTTCTTTTTAGCTCACCAGAGCCAAAGGCTCAGGGTGAGCTATTAGTATCAAAGGGAGATGCTCCGGCGTCCATCGTCCGTCGTCATGCGTCAACAATCGTCTTCTTCTCTGAAACTACTATGCAGATTTACTTCAAATTTGGTCTGTAGCATCCTTGTGACAGTCACACTTGCATTTGCTCGTGTCATACCTATTGGCTCCGTGTAGGTGCAAGCAGAGCTAAAAATAGAAATACCTTTAAACATCTTCTTCTACAGAACTAATTGATGGATGATCACCAAACTTTGTCTGTAGCATTCTTGGGTAGTCTTTTATCAAGTTTGCTCATATTAATTTGATTGGCCCCTTTTAGGGGTCTCTAGGGCTAAAAATAGAAAAAACCTTTAAACATCTTCTTCTACAGAACTAATGGATGGATGATCACCAAACTTTGTCTGTAGCATTCTTATGTAGTTTTTTATCAAGTTTGCTCATCTGAATCTGATTAGCCTCTTTTAGGGGCTGCGAAGCTAAAAATAGAAAAACCTTTAAACATCTCCTCCTACAGAACTAATTGATGGATGATCACCAAACTTTGTCTGTAGCATTCTTTTGTAGTGTTTTATAAAGTTTGCTCATATCAATTTGATTGGCCCCTTTTAGGGGCCACTAAAGCATAGAAATACGTTTAAATGTCTTTTTCTAGAGAACTAATTGATTGATAATCACAAAACTTTGTCTGTAGCATTCTTTGGCAGTCTTTTATCACGTTTGCTAATATTATTTTGATTGGACCCTTTTAGGGGTTTTTAGGGCCAAAAAAATAGAAAAAACACTTTTAACATCTTCTCCTACAGAACTAAATGATGGATGGTCACCAAACTTTGTCGGTAGCATTCTCGGGAAGTGTTTTATCAAGTTTGCTCATATTAAAATGATTTGCCCCTTTTAGGGGCCGTAAAAGCTAAAAGCTTTTAAATGTCTATTTCTAGAGAACTAATTGATGAATGATCACCAATCTTTGTCTGTAGCATTCTTGAGAAGTCTTTTATCAATTTTGCTAATATTATTTTGACTGGCCCCTTTAAGGGGCCGCAAAAGCTAAAAATAGATATACCTTTAAATGTATATTTCTACAGAACTAATTGATGGAAGATCACCAAACTTTGTCTGTAGCATTGTTTGGTCGTCTTTTATCAAGTTTAATTTGATTGGCCCCTTTCAGGGGTCTCTATAGCTAAAAATAGAAATACCTTTTAAATGTTTATTTCTAGAGGACTAATTGATGGATGATCAACAAATTTTGTCTGTATCATTCTTGGTTGGTCTTTTATCAAGTTTACTCATACGAATTTTATCGGCCCCATTTAGGGGCCACCTAAGCTAAAATTAGAAAAACCTTTAAATGTCTATTTCTATAGAGCTAATTGGTGGATGATCACAAAATCGTGTCTGAAGCATTGCTGGGTAGTCTTTTATAAAGTTTGCTCATATCATTTTCATTTGCCCCTTTTAAGGGCCACTAAAATTAAAAATAGATATACATTTAAAAGTATATTGCTAAAGAACTAATTAATGGATGATCACCAAACTTAATCTGTAGCATTATTGGGTAGTCTTTTATTAGGTTTGCTCATATTAATTTGATTAGCTCCATTAAGGGGCTGCTACAATTAAAAATAGAAATACGTGTAAACATATTCTCCTACAGAACTAATTAATGGATGATCACCAAACTTTGTAGCATATTAGGTCATCTTTTATCAAGTTTGCTCATATTAATTTGATTGGCCTCTTTTAGGGGCCGCTAAAGCTTAACATAGAAAAACCTTTAAGCATCTTCTTCTTCAGAACCAATTGATGGATGATCACCAAACTTTGTCTGTAGCATTCTTGGATACTCTTTTATCAAGTTTGCTTGTATTAATTTGATTAGCCCCTTTTAGGGGCCACTTAAGCTTAAAATAGAAAAAAAACTTCGAACTACATTTCCTACTGAAATAATTGATAGATGATCACCAAACTTTGAAGCATTTTAGGTAGTCTTTTATCAAGTTTGCTCATATCAATTTGATTAGCCCCGTTTCAACTAAAGCTTAAATGCCAGAGGTCATGGCATTTCAACAAATTATTGTTTAAACATATTTTATGCTCAAATTTAATATAAAAATATATTGACATTCCAACACTGAAAAGCAGTTGTTTCTGGTGAGCGACTCAGGGCCATCATGGCCCTCTTGTTTGTTTCAAAATATTTAAACATATAATGGCCGAATGTTTGCAAAAATGTAGACACGGATGTGAACCAAGTCAGATACACTGTTTTGTCTCATTTTGATTAAATTTTATTGTATTTTATGGATATTATTTTTTATCCGACTCAATTAATAATCAAACAATGTTTTTGCTGATATTTCAACACGCCGGACATGCATATATAAAAGAAACCAGTAGTTTCCCCTATTACGCTAGAACGCTAAGTGTAAATATTTTGCAGAAACAAATATATCTTAAGAGATGTTATAGGGTACACGTCACCGATATATTGTGTGCTTTGACCGTATAACAAGTGACAGGTCCATGGTTATTATGAATAATAGCCGATATTTTCCGCTTGGGCAAAATTATAATGATGGAGAAATCGGGAGGAACTTCTTTCTGTTTCGATTAATATTATTCCCCTCCTTATTTCTACTCCGTGATAACAATTTGTTTACTTATTTGTCAATATAAGATTTATAATATAACGGTTCAAACATATAAAACATATATCATATTTCGTTCTGTATGTTTAAGTATGTTTTGATTACATTAATGAAGAATGAAAGTCATATGCATGTAATGTATTAAATATTACGATGGAAATACTTCGTTTTGTATAAGAATTATATGAATTATATATGCAATTATTAAAACAGGGTTTAGCTATAATTATGCATTGTTAAAGTCAAACATACCATCTGAATATAGTGTTACAGATGTGCTTCTTATGTTCCGTATGCATTATCTGATGCTAACCATGCAACATTGAAGTAAACACGTCACAGTTTATATATTATATAGAATCTAGCAAGATTGTTACTGATTATCATTTTTTTCTACTCTTTTTTTCAGAACTTCAAGGCGACCTGATAAAATTCTACAGAAAAAGGTGTAGTTCAATACCTCTCTCACCGCTTCTTGAAGAAATGGAGACACAACTAGCCGGGTTCTACGTAATGCCAGATATAGTTGAAGTAAAACAGAAGTCTTTAACTTGTCACGAAGAGGCGAAAACACCAATCAAGTCTTTGAAAGACATGTTTTCTACCGGAAGTGTAGATCAGCAAGAAATTTATCTATCAGCTGATGCAGGCTTTGGAAAAACTGCTTTTTCAAAATATCTTGCAATCACGTGGTGTCAAGCTCATTGCCAGGATGAACACTATGCCTGTTTTAAAGACGACGAGTTAAAATGTTTATTTGACTTTACGTTCTTATTTTTGGTTTTATTAAGAGACTGTACCTCTGTTTGTAACATTGAAGATATGATTGAACAGCAAATTACTAAGAAACTTCCTTCAGCAGCATCACTAGACGAAGTTTTACGTAGAGAAAAATGCTTGATTATATTGGACGGTCTTGATGAATGGACTCATCCTGATAATAGCTGTAGTGAAGTAAAAGAAAAAATCCCACATCGGTACGTACGTGATAATTGCATTATCCTAACGACAACTCGACCATGGAAGCTTGGAGTTTCAAAACTGAAAATAACTCAAATAAACAAAAAAGTAGAACTGGTTCAATTAAGTGCAGATTCTACGCGGCAACTAGAAGAAAATGCTATAAGAAAAATGACAGGTGTCCATGACGATAGAGTTCTGAGGAGTAAAACACGGGACTTAAATAAAGAGATACGTGACCGTGACCTAGAGCACATGCAAGTGATTCCACTCCTCCTCATGTATATAGTCTGCTTATGGTGCAACAAAATTCCTATAGGAAATTCATACTATGAAATTTACACCAATATCATTGAATTTCTATTATCAAGAACATCAAGGAAACACCCGGACGTTCAACCATCTCGTAAATCGTCTGCCAGTGAAATTCCAGAATACTTCAAAAGTCATAAATTTTGTAAACATTTTTACAGTCTTATTACATCATTAGCAAAACTAGCTTACCGAACATTGTTTAACAAAACAAGAGAAAACACACTTGTTTTCGATAGAACGGTTGCTGAAAAATATCTCAAAGCGAACGACATGAAATTAAGTCTTCTCTCAGGAATATTGTCAGAAAGTAGAAGTAAAACTTTAGTCAAGGAAATTATCAAAGTATCTTTTTCTCACAAAACAGTGCAAGAATTCTTTGCCGCCATATTTATTAGTTCGCACAATGTTCTACAAAAATGTAGAAATATTCAAGACATTTTGGACATGTCAAAAATTTGTGAATTTATAAGTAAAATAGATGCTGACCGGATGTGTGAAATATCAAATTATTTAATGTCTGTGATAAATGAAGACGAGGTAATATGTGACTATAGAACTACGACAGATGACGAGGACTGGCTATATGATCCGTTGTATGCCATACAGAAAATGTTCATGTCGTGTTTACAAGAAATGCCTGAAAGTGAAAATATTCAATTATGCTTACAAGATTTCTTCATTGACAAGAACACCGTGCGCAGTAAAGCGTTACAACGTTTGTTAAAACAAAATAAAACCAACATAAAATCACTTTTTATAGACACCGAGGATACTTCCAGCAGTTTACGTGAAATTATTGATTTATTCTCTCTCAAAGATCTCTGTCATATACAGAAACTTTACTATTATGGTGGCTTGAAGGGGGCTGAGATTAACCGGATATTGTTTCCCAGTTTACAGTGCGCATATTTGTTGTATTGTGAATGGACAAATGATGAAGAAAATCTGAGTGAAAACATGGCGCGATGTCAAAACTTACAATATTTATATATTGACAGGTTCACGTTACCTCACAAAATACTTGAAACATTTTTCAATTTTATCTCCGGTCAAAAATCAATGAAAGAGTTAACATTAGTGGGGTTACACTGTAAAGAACATGGCAGCCGTGATTGTAAGAGGTTGAACTTGGACTTGTCTCAACATTCAACTCTATCAAAGTTATACTTGTCGTGTTTTGTTGGGAGGCTACAATTAAAGATATCAACACCGATATTAGTTTATGTTACGTTGTCGTTCATCAATCTAGATGAAAGTTCATTGTTACTGTCACGTGACATGTTGAATATTGAACGTGTGGTGTTGGAGAAGATAGAAATGTCTGCAGGAAGTTTACAGAACTTTATTACTGTGCTGAAAAATCTGCCGCAGTCAGTTACAGTAAAGATGAGAGACATTAAACCGGCAACAGAATATGACCGTTTAAGAGAAAATATTCGGAGTTCACAAACGTTTAATGTGATACAAGACAGCGACAGCCAGTGGCGGTCATTTGAGTTCAAAACAATAATTACCAATCAAAGAATAAAAACAATAACAACCAAGCAAAGAATAGACAAGAAAAAACATTGTGAAATAATTTGAAGAAACAACTTCAATACATTTGAAATGAAAAATAAATCAAAACAATTTAAATATGGACACTTAGAAACAAAATGGCGGCTCTTTGAAACACAATAGAGTCTTCAAGTAGAACATACATGTACTCCAGTATTAACTGACAATTTATTATCAATAAAAACATTTAAAATTTTAAAATTATAGAAATAAGTCAACGAAATATTTTTCGGAACTAAATGGATATAAAAGTTGGATAAGGATATGGAAATATTTCACAGGTAAGTGATTTTATATTGAATGTTTTATCTTTGTTTTTTTTTTATTTAATTTTATTTATTATACATGCATGTGTAAGAAGTGAAATAGATTATTAACAGTGAACAATATTCTTAAATTAACTTTTAATAGAACAACATATTTTATATAAATAAATCAACCTACTTATTTTTTTTTTATTCTTGAAATATATTATTTTTATAATTAAAATGAAGCATTTTGAACATAGACAATTATCAGATTATTACACAATGTATACATGGCATGTGTCTATCAAATGGTACCACAATCTCTACACTAAACCAAGTTCAAACCAGCGCATACATGTAAATAGAATTGTTGATTATGTTTTATTAATTTAAAGATAAAAAAAATAAAACATAATTCTTACTTGCGAAAAGGTTATTAATTGTTGTTTTAGTAAGATGTTTTTTGGTCATATATTGTCATATATTAAAGGTTCCTATTTGTAATTTATGATAAAGTCTATTTAACCTCAACATGTGAACCAAGCGTGTTCAACTTAAAGCCCTGAAGGGTCTGAAATTGGTAAATGAGTTTCGTTTTATGTTTACAAAAATAACTATTTTTAAATATCCAATGTAAAACACAAGGGTCAATCCTTATATATTTGGTATGAAACATTATCTAGTGTAACTCTACCAAGTTTATACAAGTATAGCAACCTTTGATTTTGTATTGCAACCTGTGACTTCCAAACCAACCTTTGAATTTCTTTAGTAACTTGTAATTTCCATAGCTATTCCTTGTATAGCAACCATTGACTTTGCATAGCAACAAAAGTATAAAAGTTAACTTTTAATTTTTCATAGCAACCATTGTTTTTCCAAAGCAACCTATGACTTCCATAGCAACCATTGGCTTTTTACCTAGCAGCTAATGACTTCCATAGCAATCATTGATTTTGTTAGCAATTCTTTAGTCACGTTTGACATTCCTAACAATAGCAATCAGTAACTCTTTTGACAGGTACATTAGTTCAGATGCAGACATGAACTTTGTGATCTTATGAGCTTAAGATTTAAAACAGAGTAAAGATATAAAAAAAATTCGCAAAATAAAAACATATATAAAATGAACAGTTTTTATCGTTTCAGCGGCCTTGGATCACAATTTCAAATTTTTTATGATGCAGAACCTCTTGTGACGTTTTACCTTTATAATGTGTGTGGTGATAGATTTATTTTATTGGAATTATGGGATATGTTTTGAACAACTTCTAAGGAAACAGAAATATGAAGATGTTTCTTGCTTGTCAATGTAAGACTTTAAATTACCTTTATTATTGACAGGCCAATAAAATTCAAAATAAAGCTGAAAGAGTAAAATCGGAGTTTGCTTCCATGAAAATATGCAAAATGTGACTTATTCTTGAATGGACGTTTTGAATAAATTTGTTGAAAACTCATTCAACTTTAGTCTGGGTCCCGTAAGCAAACTTCTTTAAGACATCTGAAATTTTACTATTTCGTGGTATAGTAAATGTTTTTAGTTGTTTCAGGCACATAGTTTATAGCAAAATGCACGTAAAAGAAAGTGATAAAAGTGTTTGTATTTCTTTTGAAAAAATCGACAGTAGTCTAGATCGCTCTATTTAAGACGCACTGGCTGTTTCCTATACGTCTTCGCTGAATTTCAATGGTAAACATAATAATTTCCGTGGGTGTCACGTAAACATTGCAGAAAAAACAATGATTACATTTTATTTAAAGTCTATCTATACAACAATTTAGCGCTGACTCCGCGGTTAAATTTTAAATTAAGATAATTTAAGAGAGATTGGTTGTTCAACTGAATCTACTCGAACCTAAATCATTTACATGTAATTCATCTGGCTGACGGAAGGTTCGTGGTTCCACCCGAATATCAGCTTGTGCCATACAATTTCAATGGAAGGTTCGTGGTTCTACCTGAATATCAGCTCGTGCATTAATGAATCAGTAAACTTTGCTAACGAAAGGTCTATGTTTTACCTGGATATCAATTCGTGTCTTAGTAATTCAATTAAGTTTGCTGACACAAGGTCCGTGGTTCTACCTGTATATCAGCTCCTGCATTTATGATTCAATTAAGTTTGTTGACGGAAGGTCAATGTTTCTAGCTGAATATCACCTCGTGCATTAATAATTCAATTAAGTTTGCTGACACAAGGTCCGTGGTTCTACCCGGATATCAGCTCCTGCATTAATAATTCAATTAAGTTTGCAGACGGAAGGTCTGCGGTTCTACCGGATATCAGCTCGTGCATGAATAATTCAATTAAGTTTGCTGAAAGAAGGTCCGTGGTTATACCAGGATATCAGCTTGTGCATTAATAATTTAAATAAATTTCCTGACAGAAGGTTAGTGGTTCAACCCGGATATCAGCTCGTGCATTAATAATTCAATTAAGTTTACTGACGGTGCTGTAATAATTCAATTAAGTTTGCTAAAGCAAGGTTCGTGGTTCTACCCGGATATATATTCGTGCTCAATAATTCAATTTGTTTTGCTGACAGAAGGTTCGTGGTTCTATCCGGATATCAGCTTGTGCCTTAATAATGCATTTAAGTTTGCTGACAGAAGGTGATGGTTCTACCCGGATATCAGCTTGGGCATTAATAATTCAATTAATTGTGTTGACGGAAAGACCGTGGTTTTACTCGGATATCAGCTCGTGCATTGATAATTCAATTAAATATGCTGACGGAAGGTCCGTGGTTCTACCCGGATATCAGCTTGTGCATTAATAATTTAATTAATTTTGCTAACAATAGGTCCGTGGTTCTACCCGGATATATGCTCGCGCTTTAATAATTCAATTAAGTTCGCTGACTGAAGGTCCATGGTTCTACCCGGATATATGCTCGTGCTTTAATATTTCATTTACATTTGCTGACGGAAGGTCCGTGGTTCTACCCGGATATATGCTTGTGCTTTAATGATTCAATTACGTTTGCTGACGGAGGGTCCGAGGTTCTACCAGGATAAATGCTTGTGCTTAAATAATTCAATTATGTTTGCTGACGGAAGGTCCATAGTTCTACCAGGATATATGCTCGCGCTTAAATAATTCAATTAAGTTCGCTGACGGAAGGTCCGTGGTTCTACCCGGATATATGCTCGTCCTTTAACCCTTTCGCTGCCAGAGAGTTATTGTTATTTGCCAGAGGGTTTTCTAAGAAATTACTATATTATTAATTAATATAATTATTATTATTATTTGTTATTAATATCATAATTATTATATACAAAATGTATGTTTCCAAATATGCTAGTATAATAATAATTATTGTCGATGGTATAATTTTCTTTATATTTATTATTATTATTATTATTAATTTATTATTATTATTATGATTATTATAGAAACGGCAAAAGCCGTCCATATGGCAAATACGCCGAAAATAACAGGGACAGCATAAGCCGTCCCTATGGCAGTGAAAGGGTTAATATTTCATTTACATTTGCTGACGGAAGGTCCGTGGTTCTTCCCGGATATATGCTCGTGCTTTAATGATTCAATTACGTTTGCTGCAGGAGGGTCCATGGTTCGACCCGGATATATGCTCGTGCTTTAATGATTCAATTACGTTTGCTGACGGAAGGTCCGTGGTTCTACCAGGATATATGCTCGTGCTTTAATGATTTAATTACGTTTGCTGACGGAAGGTCTGTGGTTTCACCAGGATATATGCTCCTGCCTTAATGGTTTAATTACGTTTACTGACGGAAGGTCCGTGGTTGTACCCGGATATATGCTCGTGCTGTAATAATTAAATTACGTTTGCTGACGGAAGGTCCGTTGTTCTACCCGGATATATGATCTTGCTTTACGTACCTAAATACAAGTATATTTTCAGTTTGTAGAAGGTATGTTTATTTGCTCTCTCACGCCAGCCGAAATCTTACACGCGAGGTATCCAGTTTTTTGTTTCTCTTCCGTTATCTGTACTATTACAAAGTAATATCTTTTGACTTACTCATTTCTCTTTTCTTTTACTCTTTCCAGAAAATGAGCTTCAGTAAAACTAAAGTGACAATGATGACAATGCTTCTACGAGAATTCTGTATAAAGACGTTACACCTTGTTCCTGGCAGTACAGAAACATTCACTGATGAAAATTGCTCGATAAAAGTTTCGAATAATCTTCTGATTTCTGGCTTAACCGGAAACAGACTAGCAAACTTTTGCATTGGTTATACAATATACATTTAACTTCAATAAGAAGTCACGTGTAAAAAAAGAAATAAGCGCCAAGTCTGCCGTGAAATATATTCCAAAGTTCCTTCAAAATATTGTTTATGAATTACAGTCATACATTAAAAAACATAAATTAAAATTCAGTGTGAACACCGCTATTTATTTAAAAATCTGGTTTTATTGATTACAGTTTTATCTTATCTGGGACATATAGTGGGACAAGCAAACGCCGACTTGATTAACAGTCTTATGTTTGCGCCAAATTGACAGCCAATCTATTGATACAGTTTATATTATATATTTATGCCACAGTTGTAAAACAATAAAGTGACAAATGCATGTTAAAAAGCATTAAGACACAAAAGGACGACAAAACTTTTTCGTCAAGTGGCTGATACTTTTCTTATTTACCTTAAAATATACCCGTTTACAACTATCAAACAGACAAATTCGCGAGTGTTTGTCGAAAAGAGAACGTAGCGCTAATTTCCAGTAGCTTGTCCCATTATATTTTGTCCCAGATCCAATGAGATCATATGTTTAATTTGATCTATCCTGTAGTGTCAGACTTATCATATTTTATTTCTATTCAATTAGATATGCATGTATTAATTTTGTCTGCAATTGAAATGTGAAATGATAGAACGAGAAAAGTTAGACAAAATACTAATTGATTATTAACATTATTGTTAACTTTGACAAAGCAAATATTCTTATAATAATTTAACTAATGTGTTAAAATTTTTAATGTTCTTTAATTTATAAATGCATTTTGTTTTTAGTGTACACACAAAGTCACAAATAATTAGAGTGGTTATATTAGGACTTTTGAAAGGATGATTCTAAAAGAAAATATTACAAATTTGTACATATTGTATTTTGCTATTTGTAATAAATTGTTTAACTTGACATACTTCATGTATAGATGTATATTTATGCCGCGTCAATGCATTGACAAAACATGTGCAAATCATTCAGGCACAAAAGGGCGATAAAATTAGTTCGTCAATTTGCTTACACTTTTCTTATTTACCTAAAAATATGCCCGTTTGCAACCACGGATTTTTATTTAATGCTTTTCAGTGGATTACTGATTTATCCTCGAAAATGTTATTTGATAATTTCAAAGTGAAAATTATCAAAATATAATTTCACACTTTTCAATGACGAAACTACTTTTTTAAAGATTTTCCCCATGTTGTACCTCATTTTATTTTTGCTGAAAATTTTGACAATTTCACGCTGTTTAGAGAAAAGCAAAGCTGAAATTGATAAATAACTTAAATTTCAAAAGTAATAAAAAGAGGATAACCTACTTCTATTCATCCAAATTACCAATCACAAAATATCGTCTCTTTACATATTTGTTTCCTTTTAACAGTCTGAAAAATACATTCCTTCCACATGCAAAACTGTTCTTGATAACATTTGGGCATATTTAAGTATCCTACGAGCAATAACGGCTGTATCTTAATGAAAACTTAAAAAGCAATGACAGCCATCAGCCCGAAAATAAGTAAACAACCCAGCGTTTTTAAGGCAGCCTTTCAACAAATCCAAGTTTCCAATTTCCTAGCCGTTTTTCGAATGTTTACACATCTGTCAAACACTTATATGTTGTCTGTTAAATCCTCAAATAAGTTTTCTTTCTTTTAAAAAGCTTTATGACTAACAGATCTATATGATATCCCTCTGAATCAAACACAATTATTTTCCTCTCGTGAAATACACAACTTTTAAAAGTGGCGGCCATTTACATTAAACAGAGCCAGGTCTTATATATATTCCCAGTAAGAAACAGAAATATTGATGGATGGTTGAACTTTTACTCCTATTAGAATTGTTTATTTTTATAATTAAAACAAGCGATCATTCATTTTTGTTTAATAAAATGAATAATATCACCCCCATTAAACGTTGATTATCGAACTTATTTTTCAGCCCAAGAATTCTTGTATTTTATAAGAAATTCAACTAATACATGTACATAATAGAGGCTACCACTGGGGAAAACAGATTTTAGTATTAAAGTTAAAGCTGCACGACTCCTGATGAGCTAAAATATTTCGATTAAATCAAACCTGAGAAAAATGTACTTAGACCTAGGAAAGGTATAAAGATTCAAAAATCTTGTAAAAATGTACATGTTATGTGCGATTAATGAATTTTTCAGTAAGTATAACTACCTTACTACTAACGTAAGGGCTATTTTGCATATTTTGGCCTCTTTATAGTAATTAACATAGGTTGTTAGTGGCAATGATGGTGTGTAAATTGCATTCTTTTGGTAACTTTACAGAATTATACTGTTAAGTACATTTTCAAATTTTCATGAAAGTTAGCATGAATCTGGAGGCGCGCTGCTTTGATATCAATGTAATTTCGTTTTAACTTGTTTTTAAGCATTAAATAAAAAGAAAATGTGTTTGTTTGTTGTGTAAGATGTAGTTTTATTTCATCTCGTGAACTTTAAAAACAGTATTCTCACTCGTGGCTACGCCACTCGTGAGAATACTGTTTTTAAAGCTCACTCTATGAAATAAAATTTCATCTTACACACAAACAAACAAACATCCTCTATTTATTACTAATATAAATCCGTGTCACGACTATCAAAAAGACAATTCGCGACTGTTTGGTCGAAAAGAGAACGTAGCGCTAATTCAAAGTAGCTTGTCGATGTTATTTTGTCCCAGATCCAATGAGATAATATGTTAAATATGAGTTATCCTGTAGGATAAGACTTATCATAATGTTATTTCATGCAATTACATATGCCTACATTAATTTCTTCTGCAATTAAAATGTGAAATGATAGAGCGAGAACAATAAGACAAAAACTAATTGATTATTAACATTATTGTTTAATCATACAAACCAAATTTTCTTATAATTTAACTTTTATGTTAAAGGCTGATTTTAATTTTCTTTAATTCATGCGTTTGAATTTTTAGTTTCCTCGCAAATGATTAGAGTATTTACAAAGGGTCGAAGTAAAGACCTTTAAACGTCATAGATATTTCAATCTCAATTATGAACTGCAGAGTATATAAACATACTATCTTATACTCGTACATTTTATTGTGATGATAGCCCTTGTAATTTGTAATGCTTAATTTCTGTTGGCAGCCATTATTGCAATGCTCCTATTCTATTTTAAATGAGTTATTGTCCATTGTAAATTTCCATATTTTACTTTTTTGCCGGGACACAACTAATAAAGAGTGAACGGTATCTGCAGGAAACTTCTTGGGAATGTATATTTGATTGAGGTTTATGCAGTATCCAAACAACCATAATTCTCTATTGTTATAATTTGTAATCATCGTCATTTGTAAATAAATTATACAATATTGTTTTGTCTAGAACATAAGATTATGTCGTCCTGATGTATGAAAATAAAAAATTATTTTTATTCTTTTGACAAAACAGTATTCTGGGCACTTGGATAGAGGCGTGTCTAGTTTGTAATGGTAAAACTATTTGAAAATTTAATGTGTTCATTATATAATGGTTTTATTATTAAATGTTTACTGATTTTTTTTTCGTTTGCAAAAGTTGATAAAATGGAAGTAATTGACCATCTTTTATATTTATACCTTACTTACATGTATTTAATGAATATTGAAAAAAACAACATAGAAATAGGTTTGACTATTCTATTTTAAGTATTTGAAAATATTAAATTGTTATATGTAGAAAGGAGGATAAGAGAAAACTATGCAAATGTTCCTATTGTTGTTACAATGAATATACTGTCAGTACTGAGTTCATCAATTTATGATATGCCTACAGCGTATTATAATTATTCATGAATTAATGTAAGGTATTCATATAACATCAAAGTCCTTATTTATAAATAAAATTGTGAAACAACATCAAATTTTAGTTATCTTTTATATCTGTGTTATTGTTTATATAAGTATGTTTCTGTATCGAGTCATCCCGTGCTCGAGTCCTTCTTGGGAAATAATCATTATGTGTTACCAGTGCCAATTAGTCCAGGAAGAAGATTAGACATACAATTGAACTTGTATTTGAGCTCTCAAGATGCAAGGGTTGCCTGGGTCGAATATATCGGCGTAGTCTTTTATAGCAGCATGCCTCCAGATTTATGCTAATTTTAAAAACAATTTGAAAGTGCATTTGAAAGTGTCATTATTTGCATGTTAACAAAGAAAGTAATTTACACACTGCAAACGGTACTTTCAATCAACGTAATTTACCAACTATTTGTAGAAAGGTTATAAATAGAGAATAACATGCTACTGTCTTTTGATGTCAATTTTATCAGGCAAGGCTGATATGCTGATATGGGCTAGAAAGGGGCGAGGCTTGCCGAGCCCTTTCTGCCCATATCACCCGAGCCTGATAAACTTGATATCAAAAGACAGTAGCATATTTTTCTATTCATCATGTAACACATAAAAAATGTCAAAATTACAAAATAATCTACCTAATGCGAATTTTGAGGAAATAGGTGTTTTTTGTTCAAAGAAATAATTCTTGTAAACAAATTCTTCCGCCCCTGAAACTTAGAATTTGTATATGGCGGCCATTTTTTCTTTCGACTCGAGATTGTTTTCTTTGATAATAGATACAACAGAGTAAAATAGAATAAGAGTCTTACCTTTAATTATCGATCCACAAAAATCCCTATCAATCGCACAAAGTTTACTGCACTTTTTTCCTTGAGATGTCAAATTCAAAAGTTCACTTCAATCAAAGTCAAATCGGCAATCAAACACAAGCTTCACAAAAATGCGTCTTATTAGATGAAAATCGTCTAGCCTGTTTGTTATTTTTATCAATATAATATGACGTGAACATCGATGATGTCATTTGCGCAATAAAGTATGACGCCAATTCATTCAAGTTGGTGCTTAAAACTTTTTGCTATCTAATTTGTTCATAATTGAAATAAAATAATAAATATCACATCTTCATTCAAGACTTGTCAGGGTATGAGATAAAATTAAAATTCAAAGGCTGATAAAAATGAGAAAATACGCTATTGAAAAAAGCCCGTTGAAATGGGAAGGACTAATTTTTTTATATCAGGTGTCTAACTTGATATCAAAAGTTATTATCAGGCAAGTTACAAGTTATATATAAAATGTAGTTTTAAATTCAAATATTAATTCTGCAACCATTCCTTGAAACTTACTTAGCGACCTGAAGTATGGACATCTTTACTAACTTCCCTATGTCACAAAAGAAAAAAAAGCAACTTACTTTGTAATTCTTAATATCGACAGCAATAAAAGAGTTTATCACATACCTATGCCGACTTTGCAACTCCGTAAATATCGTCTTGCACGAACGTGAATATATTTTGATGTGACGTCATTTGCGTTATATAAACATAGGGTTAAGACGCGGTAAATGATAGAGTTATACTAAAGACGCGTCAAAGAAATATGTTTCTTTTACGCTTCAAACGATTTTTATGTTGGGTATGTGATAAATAGAATATTGAATTTGTGTAAGGTCATTACTTGATATACTGAACTCGTTGAATGAAATAATATCATGCTCGCCAGCTCGTTCAATAAATTCAGTATTAAACTTACACTCATTCAATATCCTCTATATACACATTTACTTTTTATCGAACTTTTGAACGAATTTTCATTTTATGACGTCAATTTTATTATGTCACTCAATAATTATTGTTTGTATACCGTAGTAAATACCTAAGGAAATTCAAACGCTTATGGCTATGTCAATTTCTATTCAGAATTCTTCCGTTACAAATTGTGACTGGTCGATTTTTTGGGGAACCTCACGATCAAAGACTTTGCCAGTTCTGTGATAGCAATGAAGTGAAAAGTAAACAACATTTTCTATATGTTATATATATTTTATATACCTAATTTATTCTAGTTCGATTTTCATTTAAATTTAGAAACATATTATATGTAAATAATGAATGGGTTATATTGTTTAATATCATTGCCTTAGTATGCTGGTGAAACATTGTTTATAAAAACAATATAACAAAAATTCTGAGCATTTATTTGCTGTAATAAACAGCACGTCGGATACTACATTATTTATGCGTATACGTCTTCATAAAACGGTAATGTAGAAATCGTAAGCTCGGTCATGAGTATCGGTCGTAAAATAAGATCGCAGTTACGGCCGTCTTTGTTGATAAAACGGCACCCAGGACATTGCCGTCATTACCACGCATGTAAACCTTAACCTCCTTGGCGTCAGAGAGCTTCAGATCTCCTTTGAAGAGGTGAACATCCATGCCACTAGCAGGGCAAGGTTGAATAGAAGTTTCCCTTTTTTACTATTACTTCAATTGCCACGTGAGTTTTCCCTTCAGGTATTTTACTCATCTCTATCTTAGTGTCACACCGTCGTAGTTGTTTCTTGCTACTACACTTTGTGATTAATCTGGACCATTTTTGTCAGGTAAGTTCAATGGCTAAACACAGCATCACATTGCCTAGGGTCGGATTGTTTTATATAATTATCCAGATTGTAAAATCGAACATGCCGAATTTCTGCAGACTCGTTCCCAGCTGCAATTAAAAAACAATGCCGAAATTAGACATAAAACATAGATAACTGCATGAAACGTCAAATATACGTCACTGGATAAGGTGCTTCTTAAAAGAGCAACCGAGAGGGATTTTTGCAGCCGTAGAATTCTAGAGTTGTTTTAATTGTTCAAATGGCGGGAGTGTAAAAATTTCTGAATGGTCGACTTGCATCTGCGAACAAAAGCAGCAAATCGGCTAATTACTTCAGTCTCGGGTCAAGCTCTCTAATTTGGAATGATCAGTTGGGTGTTCAGAAGTTAAAAGAGCAGCAAAATTCCGGTACAAAGTCAATTCGGTCATATAATAGTGGTTAGTGATATTGTTGTCATAGTATAAACAGTAACTATTTTTTCGAAATATGCAATAGGATAACACGATTAAAAAAATAATAATCAATTTATACAGTTGCAAGGATGTAAAACTAAATGAACCATTGTTGAAACGTAAAAGATATTGTCCGAGTTTTCCTCTTACCTTACTGTTAATTGTTGTTAAGCTGAAGACTTATTTTGAAGCGGTGCAAGCGCATAACAATTTTTGTAATTTAGGCATTTAATGAGACTTATTAACTTTAATTTGATACACCAAAGAAATGTATGCCGCCAGTAATCATTCTAAACATTGTGGAGAGTCTTACCAATTCGCCTCAGGGATGATCCATCGGTTCAGTTCCTAGAGGGCGCTTTTATCTAGCTGGCACTTTGTCGTTATAGGATCTTTTAGTATCTGTAATTATATTTATATTGTAATCTATTTTTAGATGTTTATATCAGTTATAATGATCTTATCAGTTACTTGCTATAACAGTTAATTAAGTTATTATTGTGAACGGTTATCGAAATTGGTACACCCGCTGCTAAAATGTCTATAAATAAGTTAAGAATTACTGAGAATTTTGAATTATGAGTTATCTTTGAGCATGATTTTGATTTAAGTTAAATATTACTCTAAGAATTTTAAATAGAGAGTAACATCAAAGTAAACAACTTGTAAATATTAAAAGTAAACTAGATTGCATCATAGTTTTGGGACCTTTCTGTTGAAAATGTGTCAGGGTTTTCTCGTATACAGATACATGCACACTGTATTATCTGGAGTGCAGCATTCCAGAGCATGCCTATTGATTGGCTCATTTTGCCTGGGGTTTACAAATTGTGACGGCAGAGAAAGGAGAAGCAATAAAAATATTATTCAGATGTTCCTTCATTGGTTACTTATTTTCTGGGGTTTCATATTGTGACAACAGGGAACGTGTTTTTATGTTTGACTATGATACAAAAAAGCTCTTTCTATTACTTATATCGTGTTGGATAACAAACTGCTAAAAAATAAACTTTAATGAAAAGGGACTTTAATGATCCTTAACCATGATTAACTGACAGACATCGCTATAACTATGTCAGTACAGCGACCACTCTTTTATATGTTGTTGTTGTTGCTGTTATCATTATTAGTAGTATTATTAGCTCATCAGAGCCGAAGGCTCAGGGTGAGCTATAAGTATCAAAGGGGGATACTCCGGCGTCCGGAGTCCGTCGTTATGCGTCAACAATCGTCTTCTTCTCTAAAACTGTTAGGCAGATTTACCTAAAATTTGGTCTGTAGCATCTTTGGGTCAGTCACACTTAAAATGGCTCATGTCATTTCAATTAGCCCCTTTTAGGGGTCGACAGAGCTAAAAATAGAAAAACCTTTAAATATCTTTTACTACAGAACTAAAAGATGGATGATCACCAAACTTTGTCTGTAGCATTCTTGGGTAGTATTTCATCGAGTTTGCTCATATTGATTTGATTGGTCCCTTTTAGGGGTCTCTAGGGCTTAAAATAGAAAAAAACATTTAGACATCTTCTCCTAAAGAATTAATTAATGGATGATCTGTAGCATTCTTAAGTAGTCTTTTATCAAGTTTGCTCATATTAATTTAATTGGCCCCTTTCGAGGGCTATATTACCTTAAAATAGAAATACCTTTAAACGTCTTTTTCTACAGAACTAATTAATGGATGATCACCAAACGTTTTCTGTAGCTTTCTTAGGTAGTCTTTTATCAAGTTTGCTGATATTAATTTGATTGTACCCTTTTAGGGGCCGCTATAGCTAAAAATATAAATAGCTTTAAACGTCTTCTTCTACTGAACTAATTGATGGATGATCACCAAACTTTGTCTATAACATTCTTAGGTAGTCTTTTATCAAGTTTGCTCATATTAATTGCATTGGCCATATTCAGGGGTCTCTAGAGCTAAAATAGAAAAACCTTTAGAGATCTTTTTCTACAGAACTAAGTGATGGATGATCACCAAAC